AGTCGATCTTGAAGTTCATAAAGATTGTATGCTATCCTACGCAGAGTTGTCTTAGAAATAGGTTGTGATGGTGCAAAACATGGGCCCAATTCTAACAGCGAGCTCGCACTCTTAGGTATCGTTATGCCCCCAATCACGGTGATCTTCGATTTTCTTGGTGCATCGTCAACCGTACTTTGACTCCTAGCAAAGTTCGTTTGTCTGTGATTTCTTAAAGCCGAGATACGCGAATCAGTCAACAGGTTCTCAAACTTTCGCTGTAATGTCATCAAGGTCTCATCAGAATCTGTTGACTAATTCGCTTGTCTCAGCTTCAAGAAATCAGGGGAGAATGCTTTGAGATAACGCGTGATCTAGCTCCGTATCTCAGAACTGATTTTTCATGTGGGGTAGGGCAGCAATCAACCATATGCGACTCTAAGCGGCTGTTCTTCCTTGGTGGAAAATAGATAAAAACGGTGAGTTTTTCGAGAAGCCGGTGGTCGTGTAATTATTGCGCAAATTTTCATCTTTCTGTTTGCGTTGTTGAAGCATTTGACCTAGTAAATTACATATTAGTGCACCCTTCCAGGCTCTGAAGAAGGCGATACTACCGTAGTGTTGTATGTTACATTTGTAATGAAGTAAAGGTGTGCTGAATAACAACCTCGCGACTGCTGTGAAAAAGAAAATAGATTTAGAACCAGTTAGAACCGTTGTAAGAAAAATCGGAGAAAGACTTGTAAATATACCGTTTTGCTCAGACATCGTTCAAAGCACGTCACCTTCAGAGCTTCATAAATATGCAATTTGTAGCCGTGGCAGTTACTTCTGTTGTTATCGGGAAGCTATTTGGATAACATAAGACAGGCTATTCTCGCCAAAAGACTTAAAAATTTGGTTAGAAAGCTTTACTTCCCAGCTAAATCAAGAAGTTCACATTTCCAACGCCGTGTTGCTTAAGGGGCTGAAAACACAAGAAGAGGCTTGGTCCTAGTGTAACACATGCCAGGCATCTGGTGATAGATTTCGCATGAGAGTTTACAACGGTTAACCCATTCCGTCCCAGGTACAGTACTGCGTGGCTAGCCCAACGAACTACGCGCAATTTTTCGTCGGCTGCTCAATTTCCTGCTTTTTGACAATAAAAATCTTTTCTCAATAGATAGAAGAATTCAGGCATTTTGAACATGAAGTGTCCATACGGGACGGAATGGATTAAAGAATCGACATGAAGGCAACTCGAAAAAAACTCAGTCCAGAGAACTCTCCTCAAAACCTTCGTGAACAAAGAAAAAAAACGATTATCGTTAAGCAAAAACTACTATTCCGACATTCTCTGTTTCAAGAAATTCGTTGCTGTCTCCAACATCCGTATGGAGAAAACCAGCTTGGACCTCTCCCTCTGAAACTTTGTGGCAACCAACAGTTCGAAGAAAGGCACCGTTTCAAGGATCGTACAAAATTGCCACCATTTTTGCTCAAGTTGAATATAAGCGATATATGAATGCAAATGAGAGCTAATGAATGGAGCGGATCGAGTACGGTGTTCCTTTCTTCGGAACTACAGCATGAAATGCATTTGTACATCTAAACCGTATGCACAGCCTCAGGTGGCTGCCGAAATTAACGTCTATTTGTTCCCTTACTGTTGTGGAGAACAAAAAAGCGGTTAACGACTGAAAGAACACCTTAATGGCTGAAGTAAGACCACACACTCATATTTCGTCAGCGAACAAGTTGCCATCCTTTTAGGAAAGATGTTAAGAAAAGGCAACAAAATCTCCCACTGCTTCAAGTTCTCACCGCAGTGAATACACAAGACAAATGAGGTTCGATAATACGAATACAGGCTTGATGAGAAAAAACTTTATCAAATTTTTTCGTTTTCCACACGATATCACCATCGCCGAGTGAAGTTGCCCACTCGAGGGGTGTTCCCTCTACTGGATTCTACTCAATGCGACATTGAGCACCCACATCGCGACAACGACCAGCTATGGACCATCAAATCAAACCAACGCGGCTCTGAGGAAGGCGAAAGCGCCGAAACGTTAGCCGAGTAAAAGTTCTTATTCCAACCTAGTGTCAGCTCAATCACATAGAGAATTATTGAAGAAACATATTTCATAAAAATGTATTCGCTTTATGAACAGTTAACCGAAATCGATGCTACTCGAACTAGGGTGACATATTCGCCGTTTTCTGTCTCAGCAATCGATACTACCGAAACGTCAGCTACGATTGTGTTGTATGTGTGTTATTGTATGGAAGTAAAGCTGTTGAACAACCTCGCGATTGCTGAAACAGAAAACGAATTTATAATCCAATTCCGAGGTTAATAGAAAGCCGATCCTGGAAACTGTAGGACGACAAACTTGGTTGACCATGGCTGTTAAGTGAAAGTGGCGAATTCACAGGAAGAAATGCATCAGGACCGAACAGCAGCACAGGTGCTCTCCTAGTTTCACAACTAAGCCGCCAGTGGACTGAGCACAAAGCTCCGCACCCACCTGACCAATTAAGTTGCCCTCCTAACGATGCCCTACGCAGCTGAGGCTTAGTTCCATACCTCAGTCATATCTCGATCTACTTACATGCTTCTGACGTCAACGTACACAAACCAGAACACCACAAATGGATGGTGGTCCCTGATTGAACAAAACGAATGTGGTATGCAGGCTACTTTCTACCACATGTTATTGTCCCTCGTCATGCAAACAAATTGCTGTCACCTTCTGGAATTGTTTTCCAACTTATTCTGTGTCTACTTCAGCATTTTCTATGCCCGTACATTCCATACGATTACAATTATTCATAGTGATCATAAGTGAAATAGCAATCAACTGCCGGCTAAATTATCCGTTAACGAATTCGTTCGAGAAATTTTTGCCAACATTTCACAGTAACTTCGATAACGTGAACAAGCCAAAAGGATATCGATTTTTGCATATTTCATAGTGCAGAATAGAGCTTTCCTCGGCCCACACTCGCCACGCATTTCTTAGATAGCTATCGATCAATCACAAGAATAGCAGGGAAATTGTACTTTACGCCAAAACAAACAACCGTTAGGAGGACTAGTCACATAGAGGTCATACCAACCGGTTCAAGAGTCGAGTACGGATGTAATGCACCTACCTTTCATTGTTCGCTAGTGATCGACAAATTATCGTAAGTTGTCGAAAACCAGCTTCGCGAAAGTGTTAAATTCTGTGAACTATGGTGGAACAACGAGATTTTTTAGATAATGTTAACAGCAAATATCAACGATACAATGGAGGAAAGTATCGCATTCTACTGGAAGAACTCCAACTTGCTAATAGCGGTTTTGCTCGAAAAGCGAGAAAAAGCAAAAAGTTTTATGACCTCTAAAAGTCCCGATTATATCCTTGTAAGATAAAAAAGTACATTGCTGAGGGAAACCTCTACTCCCTAGTGGTCAACTAATTTCAGGAATGTATGCATTTAAATCAATGCATGCCATTGCGAATGTGGTAATATCTCCTATGTACCATTCCAATTCACGGTTAGAAGACCGCACGCCATAAATGACATCCTAGTTGCACACTACTGTCCTCCAAATAGCATAAATGTCCGCTGAACTCCAACGTAGCTGGTATAGAAGAATGTAATGACGTCAAAACTTTAGGTAAATCCTACTTAGGATCTTAACTAAGCCTGACCTAAATCGATTCCTGAGCAAAGATGCCTATAAGAATGCCGGAGGAGCTCAAAGTCTCCATAGCAATGATAAGATACGGTGAGAAAAACATGTGGGCAGCAAGCACCAATAGACCCGAAACAACACCACAGAGCACACCACACATATACACACACATACAAGCACACACTATAACTACTTTCCAGTTGAAGCCATCCAAATGATTCAAAAGTACTTTATTTAGTCGATTGAAACTGCTCGAACACAAACTAGTCAGTACTTATACTTAAAACCTATAAAAACAACATGGGACTTAATTTTGCTGACCACCTTGCAAAAAATCATTAATGATAGACATCTCAACAATTATGCACCTACTTATGTAAGAACTATCAGTATCGACCGAATACCATGACATTTTGGCAATCTAGAGACTAGTAAAACGTAACATCGGTATAACACAGACGAAGTCACATGACTTTTGGAGTAAAAAGCAATTATATCTACAACAATATATATTTATATCTATGTGTATTTGTGTGAGTGTGTTCGTGGTGTATAAACTTTCGTTCAGTCGTGAAATCACTAAAAAATGGAAAATTCCCAAAAGATAACCTAAAAATGTCATTACTAGTAACCACTTCAAAACATCGATATGTTCGTGCCACACCAATGGCAAAAAACAGACAGTTCTTGATTATGATCACCACTTATTCATATCTTCACCCCTAAAAATAAGGGGTTCAGTGATTTCAAGACTACAATATATGGCAACATTACAAGTGGATGAACAAATGGAAAGCAGAGGATTAGGAGAGATGACTTGATGGGCACCAAAAAAAGGAGAGAGCAAGAGAGGATAAGTAAAGCCAGAATCTAGTGTTCCACTTACCTCCTCTAACTTGGATTTTTTGAAAACACATAGGACGTGTGATAAATTCAAATCAGCTCACGTTTTTCAATCCATTTTTCCGGAATAAGAGCAGTGAAAAAAATGGTATGAAAATTGGTTATGAAAAATTGCATTTGTGAGCGTCATGAACTCCGTCTCTCTGATACTTTCTGGGAGAGCGGAGCAGACCGAGACAGAAATTAAATAAGTAGCACATCATTATTATTGCAAGACTATTTCCACAACCAAATGAACCCAACCGTGAACAAGCGCGAAAAAGTGGCAAGATTCTAATGGTGCAAGAAAGCGACCTCAACTCAGGACGGCAAAAAGCAATGTTACTCTTCGCGCTGTTCAGAGACATTATATACACTAAAATTCCGTATTTAGAAGTTTTTGTTGGTGAAAACGAGTGGCTTAGAATTGGAAAGCAACCAAGAGTTCAGAAGAGATCGGCCGCTTGGTCTACCTCATCTGTACGTAATTCGCTGGGAAGAGACCACGGAGATTTGGTGAATTCAGCTTATGTCCAGCCCACCAGTCAGCATCTTTCTTCTCCACAATCTGTAAAACGATATTTTCACAGAATTCACAATATGGAATGCACAACATATCAGCATTCAGAGCCTTCAAATTGGAAACACCCTTTTTGACGCATAACGATTACCATTCGAAAGCTCACCACAATCACATCACCAGCACGAAAAGATAACTCGTCAGATTGCCCGGCTTCGTAGTCAAAGAGGGCCGTAGCAGTGTCTTGGTTAGCACCATCCGCCTAAACCTTAACAATTTTTAAAGAAAAGATAGACACGCGAACAATACATGACACTGCGAATACTACAAGTTATTTATTTCAAAAAAAAAAACAATCTATAACAGCACATTTAATTCTGTTAAATTTAAATACAGACTAACAATTAAGTTTCCCAACAAATTCCATTACTTAAGACATCTAAACCAGGAATTCCAGCATTATAAATTCTTTATAAATACTTCAAAGTACAAAAACATAGTGCTGTTGAAAAATAATAAAGTATAACAAAAATAAAATAAAACAGTCAACAATTTATAAAGGTAAGAACAGTATTAACTAGCTGGACACTTAGAATAGAAACATTGGTAAAATTCCCAAAAACTAACCGATATAGGTGTAACATAGTCGCCTGGAAACCATCCAGCGCAGATTTGGTCACCTCGTTGCATTTCTCCCTCCCACCAGCCAGTGGCAGTTTTCTCACGAACCGAAACCACATCACCAGCTCGAAGACTCAGTTGGTTAGCTGCAGTTGCTTCGAAATCGGCAACCGCTCGAGCTCGACAAAGGATAGGAATCGTGGCTCCAGTCGGTGCTAAAAGCGCGAGCATCTAGTCTGCATCAAAGTCAGCGTAATTCTTAAACTTATCCCAACAAATAAACTAGACTGGCAGATAAGACCACTGCAGAATAGAACCGCAAATGCGAGGTGGTCCTCCATTTTTTCACCTCTAAACATGGTCTCCAATGGAACCTACTCACTATCGCATTTCTGCACATAATTGGCAGGAAAGATGCCTTCATGACCATTGCAGCGCCCTCTCCACCAATCGTCCTTACTAAAAGAATTCAAATATCCTACATAATTGGACAAAAAATTAGTTCATTCTCCATTTTCGCATCTCAACAAGAAACTGAAGAACTGAACCCACCGCTCGAACACCATGATTCGATCGCCCACTTTCAGTGATAAATCTGTGGGTTCGACTGCGTCGAAGTTGAACATTGCCACATACCAGCCTACCGACGGGGCTAGTGACTTGCTCACTGCTACAGAAAAACAAACATATGGAATCCACTGAATCGTTTTGATTAAGGTGTGGAAGTGCTTAGATAAATACGTTAGTATTGGAAAAATGCCATCGTTTGGAAGAAAGCCGGCAGATCACCTGCACTACTTTGCGAACTGACAGAATGATTGGAATTCGACTTCGGAACATTGAATTGGTGAGTAGAGTCAGACAGCGACATCTGAAACTCTAACAGACGCAGTGAACGAAGGAATTTTTCAAAACTGATGTATTGAATATTTACAGAACGTAGTACTTGCCTGTCGCGAAGAACTGTCGCTGTGAACTGCATTTTTTCCACTCGGTGTAACCGTACTAGTGGGTGAACCAGTCGACGGAGTCATTTTGTCTACAGAATGAGTAGCTGACGATGGTTGAGAAGCAGAAGCAGTCTCCTATAACTCATATAAGAACATATCGAGTCAAAACAGAACATTACAGCAAACTACCATTATGCGTTTATAACGAGAGCGAGAGTAAATAAGGTGACACTGAAGAAAGCACCTTGTTTTTAAATAGCTAAACCATAAAACTAAACAAATTTCTTAAATAATAAGTGGCTACCTGAAAAACAGGCTTTACGTAACTCTTTGGGAACCATCCTATCGACCCATCTGCTTTACGACCGCGCCATTTCATTTCCTGCTGCTCAACTATCTAGAAACAGTTGATGGGGCAGAGAAATTGCAGAGAATAAACTTGAAATATGACATTAGAAAAAGCGGAAAAACATGCGTGAAGAATCATTCAAACATCTCCAAGTATTGCATATATGTTACTCTCATGTGGAGCTCGTGTAGCGCAGTGGTTAGAGGCGCACTGCAATACACATGGACTCGATCCTGCGCCCCAAGCTTGCCAAGCAACCATCTCTCCACAGTCGGCAAGTTGATACCAGACGTGTCTAGGACGACAGCAGCACTGGCCTAATACATCTGTAGGAAGTCGTCAGTCATTGTATAGGCCAGGCATGCATTCAATGACCTCCAACGATGCTTAATAAACTCGAATGCATGGAACATCTTTCAGGAATTGATTAACGCTAAGAGCTTTACTCTTTTATTCCTCCATGTTACTTTCAGTGAGAAAGTCATTGAGATAATCGACTCTGGACTGAGAAACCGAAAACGATTTGACAGTGAATTGAGATAGTACTGAAGACAACAATGCTTGACAACGACTAGTTTTGCGGACATCTTTTCGAGTCCACGATCCTCCCTATTTCTACGTATCGGAAACCTAAACCTATGGAGGGCAATCCAAGGTTACCAAACTGCTACTATGACGATGATTTTGGAAGTGTCTGTGACACATATGCCAGTAAAAAAAATCTAAACTTTTTACCATGCTTTAGACATAAAAATTTGAAAATGCGATATGGATGATACGCGCTGTATTTTAATGATGACTAGTGAAGAAAAGCTCTTAGTGACTATGCTCGAAGAGTTATCAAGCAATGGCAAAACCATCAACCTCATCAAAGAGATCCTAGAAGGAAAATACTTTGTCACTTGTGCCTTGTGAGCGAACAGAACCCACCAAGTAATTCTAACAAGCTCAAGATGTTTTGAATCAACAATAATTAATGAAGAAATGGCTAAAATTTGCCACTGCAGGAAAAATGCAAGGCTTTGTTAAGTCAAGACCGAAACGGTAAACGAGTAATAAAGTAGTGTATCAAAGTAACCGGCTAAATCTCTCGCTTCATCATCAAACAAATGTTAATCTGTACGCCAAAATGGTACCTCAATGATGTCTCCTTTCGCGAATGAAAGATCTCCTTCATTACGTGCCTTCCAAGGAAACTGTGCAACGCAAGAACAGATGACTTTAACTGCATCTTGAGGAGTCGTTTCTAAAATCGAGCAATGCTCATACCAGTAAGCAGTTCTTGTTCGAACAACTCTACAGTAGAACATTTTAAGAAACAGAACCCAACTAATATTTTTTGCAGCCAACACTACCCAATATATTTTCATGTTATGCAGAAATGTAGCCAGAAAAATGGATACTTGTCACGAAGCATCGCAATATTTGGGTATAATTTGGTCAACGACATACCACAGTTTCCTAACTTCTATGAAAATTAGAACATTGTGATTACGACTACTGTTGCAACTTAATTGGGTCCACTGTTGATTTGTGCTCTCCAGATCAGCTAAGAGAAAGGCATACCAAGGGTGTCGGTTGATGTGATGCATCGCACGTGAGATTCCCGTAAAGGTAGTCGCGTATTTCAAACTTTTTAGAGTTGCCAATTTTGCTAATATTTTGGCATCCTAGTAGACATACAGATAAATTGTCAAATATTTCTAAATACTTAAAACTTTTGACTCTCTAGAGGAACTTCTCGCACCGATCTTCTGAGCTCTGTAAACACAAATGGAGAATCACAAATGACTGCATTTACTGCTCATCGTCTGGCAAGTTTGCGCATGCTGAGGAATGCAACAGATGCAGGGCAAGAGATAAAAAAAGAAAAGAACTCAAAAGATAAGAAAACAGTAGTGTGAGGAATTTTCATATACGTAGAAGAACCTAGCGACGCCTCCCTTTCACCTAAGAAATTCATCGGCTGCCTACTACTGGAATGCACTGAGGACAACTTCCCAGAGACTAAATTACTACATTATGCAAGCTACTCTTAGGCCACTACGACTCATAGAGATAGGCCCTCAAGTACCCCGCGAAAAAGCTTTACTATGAAGCGTCTGAACCAGCTTGAATACAGGTGTAAGTTAGGAATATAAAAACAGGTATTTAGCAATATTACGAGCCTTTTGCAGACGTCGCAGATTTGATAACGGTATCCTCAGGAATCCTATCCAAAGATGGTGAAGGTGTAACATTAGGTGGCATATTTTGAATAGGCTAAAAGTAGAAGTCATCGTGCTGAATCCTAGAAAAGTTTGCACATGTTCTGAATGACTATAGCAACCTATGTTTCAAATAAAAACAAAAAACCACATTTACCTGAGAGATTGTAGAGTGTACTGGAGCAATCGGTTCGGCGAAAGCTTCTGGGAACCATCCAACCTTAATTATGAATGGTATACGCAACAATCACTTAGATAGATGGACGCAGTAAGAAGTAGTAACTAGAAGAGATTAGAAGCTACTTAATATGAGGTGCGCTATTACCCTCGGTGAACGATGCTTTTAGTTCAACGGTTCACCCATTAACGGTTCAAAGCCGAACAGATTCGCATTGGCCACATTTCCTGCTCCAGAAAAGAATGAAACCGCTTTCTTCGTTCTTATTTTCGCTCAATCACCTAGTTTTTCTACATGCTTTGTTAGTGAATTCTATGCTTTCTCCGTATGCTCCGTATAGAGAACATTCTTCATGAATATTGGAATGTTCTCTATGTAGAACAATTACAACCTTATGCCTTCTACAACACCTGTCTAGTCGTAATCGTCATACATCTATTCTTGCACATTCGGTAAATCATCTCTTAACAACCGTTTCGTGCAATTGCCTCGCAGGTGGCTGGAAAGGGAATCAGCAGCAGTCAGCTGAATGCACTTTTCAGCATCTGTCGTTCCAAAGTCTCCGAACAAACACCTGCACCCTTCCACATGCAACCCCTCTCCAGACGCCGCCTTTAGTTCTCTCTGGCAAAGCTCCACCCACTACAGATGTAATACAGGCAGCCCATAGGACTGGTCCTGAAATCTTAGCCGCGTTCGACCGGTCTGCTTCCGGTCCCTCAATTCCTCAGTGCTCCAACACCATTGTCCGCGTTAATTCCTTCAAGTGTACCACTTGTTACCATCTCAATTCCGCCTTTATCCACCCAGCTTACATATCGCCAAATATCACACATTATTGTATTACCGTTGCATTAATCATACAGTTGTACCGTTATGCCAATCTCTTCACTCATAAGCAGCCCGAATATCAGTGACCAGGCTGCATCTATTCATTACCCGTATCATCGTTGCATTAATTACACAGTTGTACTGTTATCCCGATCTCTTCAGTCATAAGCAGCCTGAACACCAGTGATCAGGCTACGCCTACTCATAACCCGTATCATTGTTGCAGTATCTGTAGAGTTGTATTGCTATGATTGTTGTATAATTATGATAAACGGTTTAATTACCCAATTTTGAGGTTTCCGGCATTGTGACTGCTACTTACAAGAAGTCCCGCGTGGCGTACACAAAGGCAAGCAACAAATTCCGACCGAATCGTCTTAACTACTTGGTATTCCTATATCAACGAGCCGTCCCAACACTCCGTGCTATTCCACGTACATCTTCAAATTTTTGAACGATCTTAAAATCTTTTGCGCGGAAAAAAAACGACTATTCGACTACGGTGTCAGTTTTGGCTGTGTAGCCGAAAATTAGCCGAAAAGCCGAAAATAAACATCATTATCAACCTCGTGTAAGCTCATCTAAGAAAGAATACATTTTGGTTGGGTGTTTCACGACATTGAGTATTTCACATAATTTTGATCAAGTCTGATTTCAAGAAAAAAGCAAACAGTTGGCAGTGGAGAGCTGCGCAGCAACTAGATGGATATTTTAGAACCTTTTAACGATGTATATATATATATATATATATATATATATATATAACGATATATAAGGCAATCGCTTTCTTGTGATGATTCTGACTCTTCTGAGATTCGCTTTCTCTATGTCTTCCCAACTCCAGTGTAGATGTGATCGATGTTACAATTTCATTCACTAATGAAATATTCGCTTTTCTCTAGGGTGCAGCAATGCTCCTCATTCATTAATTTGAATGAACTTTTACAGCCCCGAATGGTAGCAAATGATGAGATGAACTTCGCTTTGAATAGAGTCATCTTTGACGTAGAAAACGAAGCTGTACACGTTGAAAGAAACGAAGATGAGGAATTTCTCATATAGCCGGCATGAGAATTTTCAGGAACTGATTAAGACGATGAGCACCAAGTAGAAATGATGAAGTCAGGTCAGTGGTCAAACAAGGTGGTGCCTGATGATAAAATGACTACCCAACAGCCAATTCCGAGTGGACTAACTTCTAGCTCGATGTAAAGAACCGATGCATTTTATGACATTTATAAGAAGCAAATTATTTGTCTGCATTGGTATAGAGGAAAAATCTCAACGCCATCCTCAACAAAAACAGTTTTACAACGGGAAGAACAAGTTGGAACCAAAAAGTCTTCGTAAAATACGTGAAGAAAGTATACTCGGACGACGCACGGTACAACGACTTTAGTAGGTGAGTTAACTAAGCCATACAATATTTAGGCTGCAGCGAACTCATCTTGTAATGTATACATTTATGTTCGTGAACTGTGAACAGCTTCAGGCAACTATGAGTCAGAAATCTGAGCTCCAATATTGACGGGAAAAGTGCACAAAACAAAGTAAAAGATTGAAAAGTGAAAAAGTTCATACCTTGTCCCGAATTTGCCCGGCTTTCCACCCAGGTTCGGCAGCGTGTGATTCGAATACCAATATAACGTCACCTGGTTGAAAGCTTAACTCATCTTCACTTCGTGCATTAAACTCGAACAGAGCTCGATACTTGGCTGCGTTTCCAGCGCTTGCCAAAGTAGGCAGAGCATTTCCGGAAGAAACTGAACTTTCTGCAGAAAAAGAAACCAAGCGTCAAAGCGAAAGAGAAACAACAGCACAAACCCTAGATCGGTAGACTAAAAAACATTTCGGAATGCAAAGTGACTTATGAAACTCTCGTCGGAAATGTAAAATTTTTCCACAGCAAAAAAAAAACAGTTAAACAATCCGATTTAATCAGATATGCGTAGCGTATAGTTCGTCACATTTCATTCAAATTACCCAAAAAGAACATTAAGCAGACATATTTTACATTTAACGTGATATACGTACCAGTTTTCGGAGTAGAAGCCTCAGTACCTTTCGGCACTGCTGTTTCATTCTCATTCTTCGTCTTAGATATATCCGCTTCTGACAATAACGCATCACCACTTCGTTGCTTGCTTTCTTGAGCTCGTTCTGCACCTTCCTTAGTTTTAGATTCAGCAACAACTGGCGCAATTAGAACATCCTTCTCAGAAAGTTTCATTCGAGCCTAAAATAAGTAACGATAAAATGAACTGAGTGACGCTAAAACTGAGGTATCACCTAGGTTTTCTAAATATTCAAATGACATGCTGGTTCAAATAACTTTGAAAAAATCAAGCAAAATCTGATCAATAGCTGCGTATTATGCTTGTTTTCAATAAAACAAATTGCTATCGTGAATTAAGATAAAGTTTAGGCAAAACCTGTGTTTGCAAATCAGCTAGAGCATGGAGCACATTACGATAATCGTCACGAGCCCTTGCAAGTTCTGCACGCACCGCCTCGAATTCCTGAGTTTTCTAAAATGCTCCAAATTCAGAAATGTATACCAGAAAGCATAAAGCAAATAACTAATAATATCTAGCTAAGACAGGCTTCAAAACCTAAAAAGAATTTTTTAAAAAAATAAATTTATAAACAGGATAAGAACACCATAACACCTCGTTGCCCAAAAAATCTACTTGGAAACTATAGAATTAGAAAATAAACCCGCCTTTTCAGCAGCTTCCATCTGTACAGCTGTCCTGGTACGTGCAGTGTCTACCTGGGTTGCCATTTCTGTTACCATGATTTTCGCTGCATCTCTCTGTTTCCTTAGCGCTTCCAATTCTGCCTTTCTTGTCACTGTTTCTTTATTGGCACTTTGCAGTTGCAGCAGTTGATGTGATAACTCTTGAGCTTGAACGCTCAGCTGAAAAAGCGGAACACATTTTCGGACAAATATAGCTGTCTTAGAGATCCCCTTATGTAAGAAATCTCATACCCATTAATGAGCGAGGATACGTGGGCCAGATACCTATGGTGCCGGAAGTCTGCACCAAAGCGATAATAGAACAGGAAGGATTAATCGTTACTTTACAAGAATTACATTTCACCTGTTGATTGTTTGTCTGCAGCTCAGAAATACGATACATCTTATTGTCACGTTGGTCCCTCATTCCTTCAATTTCGTGGGTTATCTCCGAAATGCGATCTCGTGCCTAAAACTAACTCTTCCGGAACAAGTCGATTTCACAATTGGTGATTATTTTTTCACCAGACCATTTAAGGAGTTCAGAACTTCATCAGTTCATAGAAGAGACCTTTCTCTATTGCGATAAATACATGTGTAATTTTCATAGAACGTTTGTTCTGATTTAAGGTGTTTTTAAACTAAAACTTAAAAAAAAATAGGTAACGAAATTTAAGTTAAATTTTCTAACGGCAGAGCAAAAGCTGCAAACGTAAACGAAACACTAAGGAAGCACATCATATCCTAGTGGACGAAATCCCGCTTTTTCATTTGCTTTAATGTTCAAAACATGAGCCCCGATTAACAGGAAGAAATACACGTCATAGAGTAAAGAAATAAAACTTTTATCCTGAAAGTAAAGCGTTACAGATTCTAATTGTTTTTATTGCTATTAATAAAATCCACATGAGAAATATGGACTTAAAACTGAAAGTCACCACTGTACAACCATGATGATGACGAGATATTCACGAAACTTGGACCCTGGGCCAGAAGGAACCATGATTAGTTTCCATGGAACGTTCGCGCCAACGAATACCGTTAATGGATATCCGACATTTCCTTACATTTGCCAGACAACGACTACCTTAGTAATATTTGCATCGGTATCTACTGCCTTCTCACTGAGCGCTTGGAGTTGAAACGTTAAAGTCTTCTGACGTTGTTGGCGCTGCCCAGTTAACTCCGCCTCCCGTTGCTTTTGCGCCTAAAAATCTGTCCAAAATTACTACCACTTTGATAAAAAACGAAGAAATTCTGAACTGTTTCGCACAGATTTTCATGTGGACTAAGTTTGAATCGTAACTACGATTTCATCTGCTTACGCACTATTTCAAACCCAAAGCGTGTCAAATGGGTACCAGAAAAGGAATCTTCTTTCTCGACTTTCACTAAATGACAAACAATGAAACTTACTGCTGAACAGTTTGGAAAACAGAGTGACTCCTGCACAAACTCAAGCACCACCTGTTACCTACCGTCCGCTTGATCGTCGAGTGACTCGAACCGGCACCAGTAAATCTTCCATTTTCCCTTGTCGCGCGCAAGAGTAACCCACTGCATCCTGTTGGCTCTGGCGACTCGTTGAGCATCATACTCCCTTTCTACTGTTTTCGTCAAAACTCTGACCATGGGATTTCTTTTTGCAGTACGTTTGACATCTTGAGGAATTCAATTACTAACGGCTCTTGTCCATTGGTTGTCATTCATACGCATTACGTGTCCGGACCACCTTATCTTCGACTATTTGGCGTACAGAACGGCGTCCCTGATTTTTGATCGCTGACGCAGGTCGGAGTTTCGCATTCCTTCCCTTAGTTGTGTGGAACGGGATACTCCCAGCATCGTTCTTCCGACTGAGCGTTCAAAAACGCTGAGTGGTCTTCCATCCAGTTTCAATCAAATTTCTGAAGCATACGTTAACGCAGGAAATACCGCTGAGTCGTAAAGGTGGGCATGGAGTCGGATGTTCTTTGTTCTCCTCACTACATCCTCAATGCTCTTGAAAGCTCCCCAAGTCGCTCGTTTCGTTCAGCTCAGCTCTGGAGCTAAGTCGTTCATCATATTGATTTCCCAACCTAAATAGATATAAGTGGAGCATTCGGAGATATTCGCTCCGTTGAGCGTTAATGGGGCATTCGAAACCAATCCGTTCTTCATGAACATCGTTCTTGTGAGATTTCGTCGAAGACGAATCTTTCCACAGGCTTTATCAAAGTCGTCAAGCATACGTTCCGCTTGGCTAATGTTGGTGTTATAAAGACGACGTCATCAGCAAAGCGAAGATGGTGTAACTGCCGGCCTTTCGATTTTCACTCCCATATTATCGTATCTTCGCGTATATCGTATCCAATCTTCGCATGACGTTCTCGAGGATGGCGGCAAATGATTTTGGTGAGATGGTAACGCCATGCCTAACCTCTGCTTTGACGCTGATGTTAATATCGTTATAGAATGATGATGATGAACTTGGCTGTGAAATTTTTGTACAGCTAACGAAGAATCTTTATGTATTGAGTAGGGTCTCTTTGACTACCAAGGGCTACCATAACTGCTTCTACCTCAGTTGAGTCAAATGCCTTCTCTAAATTGATAAAAGTGAGACAGAACGGTCTCTTGTGCTCTCACAATCCTTCATTGAGCCATGTTATCGTGTGGATGTGGTTTAACGTAAACCTCTTCGAAACCCTGCTTGCTCACATGGCCGTTCTTCGTCCAGTTTTCTGTCTATCTTGTTAAAGATGACTCGAATGAAAAGTTCATAGACGGTAGACGGTAAGTAGACTGGGTGATAGTTGCCAATATCGAAAAGTTTACCTTTCTTAAACAGTACAGTTACAGTCTTGCTGGTCCTCAACTGAATAGTAACTCAGCATTCCGGCAGGAAACGTGTGAAGAGCTCAGCCAATGGCGGAAGTTCTTCAAATATTCAAATCTTATCCTGTTTGGACCAGCTGTTGTTCGATCATTTACCGACGAAACAGCTTGTCGGGTTTGAGGAGGATGAACCAGTGGTACATATTCATCCTCCTATATTTCATATGAGGACAGCAGGGCGAGGCTATTGAAGTGATCCGAATGGCGGTCGTGAATGACTTTTCCAATGCCTTTTTAGAAGCTGTAACTGTTACGTCTGGGCGTCGGATTGCTACCAATTTGGTGTTATAATTGGGGAAGCATCGATGGACTTTGCGAATGCTCTTCTTATCCTCTTCAGCTTCGACCATAATTACACACTGCTCTTTTCATGACTTTTTAGCGCCTGTCTGCAGTTTCGCAAGTTCAGAAGTGAGTTAGCGGTTGTCTGCAGCTCGTGCGATTCCACGCTGGTGTATCAGCTCCAGTGTTTCTAGAGACAGACGTCTTTTGGTGATTTCCGAGCTCTCAGCTTTCACAGCGCTAATGAGACGACGTTGAATCGACTGTAATTGTTGTCGATGTTATCGAGAACGAGATCGTCCCAATATCTGACTAATGAACTATCGTTTTTTGAATTTAGCGGCTTTCGTTTTCTTGTTCAGTAATCGCGAGGTTCAGCATACAATTACTTCCATAGAAAAACACTACAATACAACAGTAGCTGACGTTTCGGCATTATCGCCTTCTTCAGAGCCTGGAAGGGTATACTAATATACTAGGCCAGGCCAATCTACTAGGCCAAACGCTTCAGTAACGCTTACAAAAAGACGAAAAACTCTATGGTAATTACATGATCAACAACTTCTCGATAAACTCACCGCTTTTTACGTAACTTCCAATGAGGAAGATTAGGACAGCTGATTATAGTCGCATATGGTTGATGTCTGCACCATTCCACATCAGAAATTGATGCAAATATACGGGGTCGGGTCGCGTATGACCTCTGGGCTCTCATCCCTGCTATTCATTGTAGGGTTTTCGGCATTTATCCAAAAAGCCTCAAGAAGTTTTCGCCCTGGTGTTCCATGTCTTCTGTGCAAGGATATTGACTTTTACTTCAAAATCGTCTCCGCTATTCTTTTGTATCCTATGCGTGCCTAGTGGACTGCTTTGTCCTAGTTTTCGTTTGCCATCTAGGTGTTCCTTTATACGGATAAACAAAAGTCTGTCCGTTTCGCTAATATATTCATTCACCTCCGCAATTATTACAAGTGGTCAGGTATATCGTACCTGAACTCATGCAATCACCGTCCCTGCCGTAAGGGCAAATTACGCAATTTGTTGTTTCACATAGACGGTCATACAGGCGGTTACGAACTAACTAACGACGTAGAGTAGCCGGTGGTATTTCAACTATCGCTACCGATTCCTCTAGACCTGCCCTTTTTAAACATCGTTTAATAGCTACGCTTACTTCAACGCTAATAGCGGTTTTTTCTACTTTCCGCGAGAAATAGAAATAGAATCTTGCACGAAGAAGGCGATGGTCGGATACCGTGTACAATGACAAACAACAATCGGTTAGACAACAAACAACAATGACATCGGTTAGAAAAAACCTTCTATTTACTACGATACGTTCTGTTTCGTTATGCTACCCTCTACTGAGATACTCTCACGTCCAGCGTTGTGGGTGGAGCCTTTGCATTTGCGAATTACCGTGGATGCTTTCGGTTGTTGTGACAAACACACATAGTCACTCAACCCTTCTCGTTTCATTCTAATCCGTGGGTCCCAATCTATCGTTCTTTAGACGTTCCTTTGGGTTTCATCTTAGCGTCAAAATCTCCAACAATGACCTTGAAGAATGTATGGTCTTCTCTGTAGAACCTCTCCAAGTCTATACAACGCGTTTCGAATTCGTTATAGTTCGTTGTCTCTGCGCGGACGACCAATATGGTCGAAGCCGATATTGGTCCGAATCTCTTCAATCGTAAACATTCGGGTTTTTATTTGTACGAATGAATCGATGTTCATAGCCAAACTCGAGTTGATGAGAATACCGACACCACCGACTCCTCTACTGTCACATTTTCTGAGGAACAGTTCCTAGACAGCGTTGAACCGGTGGCATTCTATAGTCTCGCCCAGTCCGATAAAGTGGTACCTTATCTTTCTTGAAAGCACGATCACGGCCTCTATCGAGGAATCAGATGCAAGTGTGCGCGCATTGCAAGTACAAATCGTCACCTTAGTCTGGTGCAATTTAGGCAGCTTAGAACGGCCCTGAAATTTTAGCAGCCTCTCCGTACTCGTCCTACCCAACGCTGCCATATTGGGAGCTCTTTCCAGTTCAAGGGAATGAGGCCTGTTTATTTCCCTGTATTTCGCTTTTCGATACCCACGTAAAGATTGCTGAACTCTCAATGGCGTAGTAGTGCATACTCACGGGTATCTTCCCAGTCTCTCCCAGAGTAGATGGAAGCTTATTTGTTGAAGGTGATTCCTAACCGCCTCCCATATGCTTCCCTGTCACGTGATAGCTGGCTCTTAGCCGAATTCACTCGTGGAACATAATCTGCATAAACGAGAACACACCAACACACGCATGCATAAATACGTCCTTACAAATGGAGAAGGTATGTGCCAAATCTGCGCAGCAGAACAAGAGAGTCCATTCCCTGGATCCACCTGCGTCTCAAGGAAATGAAGCGTACCCGCTAAAAATTACACTCTTTCACATCCACACTGCAACGAGGTTGACCACCAGCTAATGCTCTTTATTTAAGTGATTCGCGAAGAAAGCTAAATTTTCGGGGACATACAACTTCTCCATTTATATGGTATAAGAGCTGATACTTTCTCACAATTATTGGGGGAACTCTGCCACATCTCCTTAAAAAATAAACAATTTTAGTTTTCTCTTTATTAATTACTTGTTTTCGAACTGTTGATAACCAAGGTTCTTATAAAACATCTACTAAGAAACCAGCAACGTATGGAAAACCATTACTATATGAATATTACCATAAATTCCACTTAGTAGCAAAAATGAGCTAAAATTATTACAATTCAAATACGTACTCGGAGAAGTAATAATGATACCTGCATTTCTTTCAACCTCAATTTCTCGGCCTCGATTTGCCGTTGGCGCTCGGCCTCTTTGCGAAGAGCTTCACGTTCGACCTGCCGCTTCAGTTCCTGCTCAATCCGAGCTTCCTCTAACTGCCGAAGACGTTCTTAAAAGATCTTTGCATTCAGCTGCTAGTTGGCAAACTCTTCCTAATGCTCAATGAAGCTTATCTCGCACCGTAGAACAAAAACTATCTCCAGCTAAATATGTATAGTACGCGAAAATACAAGGTGATAATTACACTATGTTCAAAACAACAAAAACAACTTATCGTCAAGAATATATAAAGCGACTTCGGAGAGTAATGTACCTAACTCGGCTTCTCTCTCGAGTTCCCGCCGTCTCTCCTTTTCTAAACGTTCTCGCTCTTTCCTCTCATTCTCTTCTCGCTCCCGTTTCTCAATTTCAGCACGACGACGATTTTCCTGAGTGTCCAAACATTTTTTAACATTATTTAATATTAATGTAACAATATATTAGCACATTTAAGGCAACGCATTATTCTCCGAGTGAGCACTATAAGACGAAGTTTGATTTTTTGCTAAATTTTCGTGGACTGCCAACGTGAATTATACATTTCACCATCTTCTGCCAAAAAAAGGTAGAAAACTGTCAAATGCCCCACTCACTAGCACCAGTGTTTATGCTTCTCAGTCGATATAAAGGATAGCAATTCTTCGCAAAACTAATCTATTCATATTTGCACCGTAGACATATCTTCGTACACTCCTGATTTGTACTATCTTCACCAGAACAGAGACCTTACCACCCCAACCATCACCAGCAGCCTATGACTTGCGAACTCACTTGAAAAACTCTATCAAATGCAGAATATGGTTCTCTTCAATCACACCTTACAAAACACTTTGGCGAGTAGGCTATGGACTCATCGTAAAAAGTGTTGGAGAAAAAACTACGCGCACAAATGAACCACCGGAAAAATGCATTGAATCCGATAAGAATTATCGCAGATGTTCTTAACTTTGTTGCTAAAAACAGAACAGAATACCTTAATTGAAGTTTTACTATTCATACAACGGGTGGTTGCTGTTCGTTTCACTAGAGTTTGTATACAATGATCTCACAAACCTCTTCCATGAGCACCTGTCGCCGTCGTTCAAGTTCTGCTTGTCCGCGTGCGAAGTTATCCATGCGTTTATCTTCAAACGTCTTAGGTGTAGAGATTTTCTGTGCTGGTGGCGCTCCTGGTTCTAACAGTGGACTATTGCTTGCTGACCGTGAAAAACCACACATTTGTACCAGTTCCGGCGGAGTTTGTTCAGGAAGCGCGTAACCAGCCTGAAACATCAACAACAGTTATGTGATCAGTCAGTTCTGCACGAAAAATAGTTCAGTTTGTATAAATGCACCACATTGACAGTATTTGTATTAGGACACTACACCGAAAAAACATATCCGTCAGAAACATAAATTCTGATTATTTTTTAAGATTTTATTTACCTTGACCATATCTATAAGGTGCATGGCAATACAGAACTCGTCCACCATTAGCTTTCCATCCTTGTTGACATCGGACAGCGTCCATATATGAGCAAGTGTAGGTGTCGGTAAACCGCTGATGCCCAGTGCGCTCCGTCCTGCTTGACCCGTGAGAAATCCAACACGTTGCTGAAGTGTATCAGTAAGAAGATAAAGCCGAAATCCGACACCGCTTAAACGACGCACGATCAAAACATTTAGACCGGATTCATGCTTGGTTAAACATATACTTGCTTAATGGCAATTGCTTAGTATGCCGATGAGTGCTACGTACATATATATATGTATATATATACGTATATATATATGTATATATATATATATATATATATATATACTAAGTTCCGAGTTCACGAGCAACCGATGAGGCGAAAGCGAACAAATCGAATTAGATGGTTCTCTGATTACCAACCTCTTACGCATGTCTTAGACGTTCAGTAAACATAATGAGCACCGTGATCCTCGGTGCTCCAACCGCTCTACTATGCGGCAAAAACATGGTGCTGATACCACAACTACTGGAAGATTTCTGCGCACCACCCTTACAGCATTTGAACGACTTCTTCTGAAATATAATCGCAATGCACAGTTCAGATTGTCGAAGTCTTATGTCATCTTCGCGACCCAGACATGAATAGCGAAACGTGTGTGGACCATCGTCGAAATGAACCATAAATTGTACTGCAACAGGATGCACATGTTCTCTGAGATGGCCAAGTACACGATGTGTGGACGAGTTTGTAACCAAAATCAACTAACTGTATTCGCAATTGCAAACGCTTTAGAGATCGCGATATGACACTAGCACACGTCACCGGACTCGAAGAAAATCACCATGGCAAGAGATCGTGAGGAAAAGATGCGGAAAGAAAACATGCTGAGGCTCGCGCTAGTCGTCAAGAAGGGCTTTCCATGTATCCAGATAACTAACTTCTGCACAAAACATGGACTTCTTTCAAAATATGCACACATTATGTAATTATTATTTAACAGTCTAAGCAAGTTTTTACGCTGCGGTTCGGAGTTTTGCAAATATCTCAGCATCACCCTAGTTGTATTTCACATGATACCCTGCCGTTAAAAAATAAAGCAGGCAGCAAATAAAAGGTTAAGATTGTGATTTCGACTTCAGCCTCAGCTTAACTGGGTTCGTTGCCAATTTGGGCCACCCAGATCAATCCCGCTAACTGGTGATTGATGATGGCAAAAGATCGATAGAACTAGATGAGAGACAGGCGAAACGAAGGACTCGCGTAGTGTGGTGGTGAACGCGCTACTCCCCGGAAAGGACAATAGCGCGTTCGTTCTCCACTGCAAACATCTGCGGTCCGGAGTTTTGCAAATATCTCAGCATCATCTTAGACTTCAAAACGTTTACTGCAGTGTCACTATTGAAGCAATGTCAACTGCAAAGAGTAACAAATAGACCGCTACAACACTAGAGCCTCTTCTACAAGTGTTTGATGCTCCCAACTCATCCTCTCAACGGTCCACTACCACATCGCGGCCAGGAAGTGTTCCTGGGTGTCGGACTGCGATGTACAGTGTGGGGATTCGTCCTCGCGGCAGCGTCTCCCAAGCTGAGTCCTGTGCTTCTATCAGGAAACCCAGCTAGAGTAAACCAATACCAGGATCCACCACCGCCTTGGTATCAAAGTCCCATGGTGGCAAATCTCCCTCTGATCCACAAGGGCTGCGGCTGCCTTTCGTGGTAACGACTTGGAGCAGACTGGGCAGGCTGTCCTCGGAATTGCAGGGAACCACAATGGCTAAATCAGCAGAGCTCCGAAACAATGGAGTGTGCTGTGGTCCGCGCAACCAGTGAGGAGAAACAAATTCACCATTAGTTTCACTACTAATCTAGAACAAAATGTCGTCCCACGAGACCATCATTAGAAATTGACCCCTTAGCGTTGTGTGTTAAAGCGTCGCCTTTAAAAGCATGAGGAGAAAACTATGTTAAACATTACTCTTTGGAAACAATTTATCAGCAAATAACTGACTCCAGCTGAAGTCAGTACCTTGTAGAAAAACGCTGTAAAGAGTAAAGACAAAGTAATATTTGAAAAATCTACAACCTTGACTATTTCACCCAGGTGCTTAAACTCGATGCTATTAACACTCTCGCGACGGGTGGCCTCTATGGCAATCATTTCAAAGCCCGCGGAACGGCCAGTATGACCTCCACAGGTTTCATTTCCTTTTCAATGGTTTATTTTAACACACAGAACTGTTTTCCTATAGTTCTCGTAACCAATAGATACCCTGCAGAACAAAGATGTAATGGTGTTGCTCAGGAAAACGTCTATTCTGCACTTGGAAATATACAAAAAACCGCTTTCTGCTCGAGTACACTGACCAAAAATAGTGGTAATCTATTATTATTTCAATTATAATCATCATAATGAATGAAAGTTATCGCATAGAGTGTTCGGGTAGAAAAAATACTGGAACAGACAGAGCGTAGGTTGAAAACTCATCCAAATGCCGACAGCAGTGTCTTGTATGATGGACCATAGTAACATATAGTAAATAACAGCGCAAATATCATTCATATCCACGGAACGCTATAGCAGACTCTTTTCAACAATCCTTTCGTGTTCACAACCCAATAAGCCCTCTAGTTATTGAAAAATTATTATTTGTTTTCGAAAAACCAGTAATTCTATAAAGACTGTAAATTAGGCGTTGTCCACTATTGAAGAAAAGTGAAATTACTCGTCTTCGCTAGAGTGTTAAGAAATAAAGTAGCGGAAGAACACAGAATGAAAGTGCATGAATCCAGGACAGCAGGAAGAAAACCTGTCGTTCACGAATTATTATCTATAGAAAAACCCCATGACAAGTTTTAGAAAATGATAAAATTTATCCTGAAGATAAAAACGAAACCACTGGCCAACAAGCTTGGAGAAACATTACCTTGTCCTGCTGATTAAACTGCTGACTATATCGAAGTTTTGCTTGATGAGGAATTGCCCAGTTTCCGCATTGTCTACCCTGTGTAAAAGTGGCAGCAATTCCACCATTTTGTGTCTCCGAAGACCGTCTCCCTAACAATCCCGCTGGCGCTGTGTGGTACATAGGAAATGAGGGCATCAACGGCTGCATTGGAGAAGTCCCATATTGCATTTTTGGCATATCTGAACAAAAGATAACCTCTTGATACATACCATATCTATAGAAATAAGTCAGAAATCTCATGTTCTGCCTAGATGTCGAAAAACATGCGCTGTCCTCATTAGTTAAGGTCTTGACTTTTTATATTTATTTTACTTTTTTCACATAAACTTATTATATTTGGTGGAGTGGGGAAGCAGAGCAGCGTAGTTGGTAAGTGATGTATTCCATCGGGAATGCATGGTGCTGGTTCGATCCAATCTCCAATCCTATCCCTTTAATCTACTTGAAAATGTTTTAGCTCGGCTATCTCTGGAAAGCACAGAGAATCAACTCGACCAGCATTCTACACGACTTTTAATATTGGAGTATACAGATCTATCACTAAGCTGGACTTCAAAGTCATGAAATTTCATGGTGATGAGAACAAATAGGTGCCATACATCGCGCATTTAATGACATTTTGCAATGAATCTAGCTACTAATCCCACTCTTAGGTACTCGGAAAAACATCGCACTACATTTAAGCAGGCTACACAACAAAAAAAAACAAAACAGCTATACTGATTATCGCAGTCGTTTTCAAGAACAAAACTATACCTGTTTGATTAGTGGGAAATTGCTGCTTTCACTATGATGCTGAGACATTTGCAAAACTAAGAGCGCCGAGCAGATTCGAACATGCGATTGCCCTTACCGGGGCTTAAGTGTTATCCATTACACCACACTAAGCAGCGTTTTACAGCTGCACTTACTTCATTTGAGATGAAGGGTAGGAAAAACGGGACCATATTGTCGCCAGAGTTGTCGTTGGGGTACCTGTGGTTTCCTCTACACCTATCTCGAGCTACAGTTTCGTAGCCATTAAAAATGGCTATTTGCCGCGAAAAGTTCCGGGACTCCTTTCTCTGCTCTCTTCCCGTGCACACGTTCGTTGCTGCTCGAAACATGTTTCTTACAAGCACCCTTTTCGTGTGATAGGTGTGAGAGGAGGGGATAATGAACCAAGATGTTTTTACTACTTGGCTTTCGGTACCACTTTGTAATGTAGCCATTTTCTGAGAGGTGAATTTGGACGTTAAGGAATGGAAGCCATTTATCTTTCGGCTTCTCTAGGGTGAACATGATATACTCTTACTGTGCATTTAACAACTCGAAACATTTGTCCATTTTTTCTTGTGCTGAGCAAAGGACAAAACAGTCATCTATACATCTACAGTAGAGTAGCGGCCCGAGATCAGTCACCGGTGCTTCCAACTTAGACATAAAAGCAATGGCAAGACTTGGTGCCACTCGCTGTCCCATTGCCAACCCTCTTATTTGAGCGTAGTACTTTCCGGATCATCTGAAGATTGAGCAGCTCAAGCATTCTTTTAAGAGTGCCATCAGGTGCTTTATCTTGAAGCCATACATGTTTATTTCTCTTTCATGTTGTTCGAATATGGCTTGCACTGCGGAGTCACTCGACACGTTTGTATAAAGGGTGGTGACGTCGAAGGACACCATCACGTACGCGCTGCTGGGCTGCGCAATAAGTAGACGATCCAGCCGGCAAACGTTAACCAAACACCCCACTAGGCACGCATAGGACCCAGAGACATAACGGAGAGGACTTTGAAGTACGTGACACGATCCTCGCGCAAGAATCCAGAACACAATCGCGCAAAACTCTCGAGGCGATCTGGATTAATTCCAGAAATCCGAAAATGAACAGCAGGGAAGAATACACTATCACGCGTGATATTGGGCAGTATATAAGCATGTTATCCTGATGGGAAGAGCACATTATGCTTCCATGTGAATTCTGTGCGGTTGGTCTCCACGCGACATATTCATTGGAAGACTGATAGAAAGCGGTGAGTGTGCAAAGAGTCCGCGTTCGATGTGATTGAAATCTTGGTTTAGCGTTTTCTCTGTTTGGTTATGGAGGTGTTTGGCCGAGTAGATTGCTGTCAATTTGACCTTTCCCGGCTCTAAAGGAGGCGAAATCCGCCGAAACGTGAGCTTATTCGTGAATAAAGAATAAAAATAACACCTCCCGTTTGCTCAACAAGTATACGAAGAATTACTTGATCAATGCCGAGGTTAATAGAAAGTCGGTCGTGGGAGTTACTGCAAGATGTATCAGCAATAGGAAGTAAATAAAGGAAAAAGTTAGATCACTACTTCACCCACTTAAAAAGTAGATAGGCATTCTCTATTATTGAAAAGGAACATTTCGTGCTAATTAGAAAAAAAACGATCGGATACACAAAACTTCAGCACGAAATTCTTTGTAAAATCTCTCTTCTTCCTTACTTCGATACGGTTCAATAAGTTTCAAATTGCAAAAAAACGGCGATATATCGAAAAAGTACAGGAACTTTTGTACTACCTACCTGAAAAGCCAAAAGTTTATCGCCTTACTGCAGGTAGGTAATTTTGAGTGTTATGGCAAAGTCTGACTATCTACTCTAAGTGATCATCCCACTTGACATAGCAAAAATAAAAGGCACCATCAGTAAAATGTGGTTCTCTATATGGTTTCTGAGTGAACGGAGCTCATTGTACAACTATAATATAAGATGCTCGAATAGTGATAAGTAATAACGGAAAACGATGAATAGACTTTATTCTTATCCGATCGAATCGATACTTAACGTGACTACACGTGAAACAGGTCAGAATCGATGTGGACATCCTGCCTAAACTGGAAAAAAGTGTGACAAAGAATACTTTCCTAATGGTAGCTAACTGCGCTTATTTGCGATGGCAGAAAGCTGTGAGTGGAGTCTATGGAATTGGTACTAGTATGAGACTTAGATACTCTGCATATGGCGTGATACGCTCAGATGCAACGCGCACTACCATACTAGGTCGTCTACACATGGAAAACATTGTCTACTACCGAGAATTCTCAAGCACTGCCTCATCACAACAATACTGACATGCATAAGCTACCAGTCATGTAGATGGACAGACTGGATTAGTGGGTATGTCATGGCGTAGTCCGCTTACGTACTGAAGATCGTCGTAATGTAAAGCACTCGATCTAGTACAACACATTTTGCTACAGAGAAATAAGCTGTACTCCAATCCCCACTACAGCTAACAAATCACATTTTGATTAGTTTTTTTTACGTGGTTGAAGAAGAGATGAACTCACTGCATCTCACTTATTGAGCACATTAACACTCCCTGACTTTTATAGAGATTTCTCATAGAAGCTTCCCGTCGCTCCTAATCTAATGCTGCATATGTATTCACGCCGGTTTCGTTCTTTAAACCAATAAAACAATACGGTATGGATTTAGCGTTGAGTCTTTCCTTAACAGCGAACACTCGCTTCCAGTGTGTTCTACATCAGCTAATACTTTCTGCTACATTTAAATATTCTGCAGAAGTACTTTACCGTCCTTAAAAAACACTTCTATAACGTATTAACACTGGGCATAATATAAGGTAGTTACTCCCACGACCGACTTTCTATTAACATCGGCATTGAACAACTAATTCTTCGTATTTTTGTTGAGCAAACGCGAGGTGTTATTATTCTTTATTCACGAATAAGGGGGGATGGACTTTGAAGTACGTGTCACGATCCTAGCACGCGAATCAAGAACACAGGCGCGAAGAACTCTCGAGGCATTCTGGATTAACTCCAGAAATCCGAAAATGAACCGCAGGGAAGAATGCCTCATTATCACACGTGATATTGGACAGTATATAAGCCTGTTATTCTGATGGGAGGGGCACATTACGCTTTCATGTGGTTTCTGTGCGGTTGGTCTTCACGCGGCATACTTAGTAGAAACCTCATAGAAAGCGGTGAGTGTGCAAAGCTGTGTCCAATGTGACTGAAATCTTGGTTTAGAGTTTCTTTGTTTGGTTATGGAGGCGTCTGGCCGAGTAGATTGCTATCAACTTGACCTTTCCAGACTCTGAGGAAGGCGAAATCCGCCGAAAAGTCCGCTTATTCGTGAATAAAGAATAATAACATCTCGCGTTTGCTCAACAAAAACACGAAGAATAAGGTAGTTAGTTCTCCACTGTCATCAGCCTATATATATATATATATACATATATATATATATATCGTTTGTCTATTTCAAAAATTAACGTCCGTTAATGTAAAATCCACAATTTGATCATGGCAAAAAAGGATAAAGCTCTCGGTGTTGATCAGTCCTTGAGGGATGCGTCATGCATTCGACTTCACTAAGCATCACTGAAGGTGATTGAATGCATATCTGGGCTTTACAATGACTCACGGTGGCCTATCGATGTATCCAACCAGTGTTGCTATCCTCACAGACAACTCTGGTTCAATTTGCCGACCTCGGATGGATAGAAGACTCGTTGGGCCATGGGAGGTGAGATCGATTCCACGTGTGCGTTGCAGGACGCCTCCGATCACTGCTTTATAACAACAGAATTTGTTGCCAACCTATAGCCTGTTTCTTTTATACTATTTGGCAGAAAATTCTACATGAATGCTTTACTACTTGATACATAAAATCTTTCTGAATTAAATTTTGTAGATTTGTACTTTACAAATACTACATTTGAATGATTGTTCATGAATGGATATTTTATATTTGACCATCTACAATGAGTTGCGCAAGATATGTCATGAACAACTCATTACCACAGTCATTCTAATGAGATTAATATTAAATACCAGATTAACGGGAACAAAAAAGTTTGTTGCTTTTAAGCAATGCAAGCTGACCAATCATGAGTAAAAAGATCGATTGTTCTATATGGGCAAATAGAACCAACTCTAGTCACTATTTTTGCGATAGTATTCATCTTACGATGAATACGAACGAAATTGAAGAATCTCAACATGTGCATACATAAGGAACCGAAAACGCATGATTGGCGTCTGCCGTCGAGAGGTAGGGTCTGCAACTAATGGGTCATTAATGGTTAGAATAAGGATTAATATTGTAACTCCGTTAGTCAGAAACACTGAAAGTACGCTAGCTAATAATTCCGAGTTCTTTCAATTTTTCGTTTCACACGACCCAGCTTTCACGCATAAAATGCCGATCCTAGCACTTGTAATCGATCCCTTTGCTTGGATGCAATACCCATGAAGGCCTTCGAACACTTTTTTGCCTGTGGCTTCGGCTGATGCATAAGCAATTTCCTTTCATAATGAATATTGTTGAGTGCTAGTCGAGTCGCTCTCCTTCAAGTCCTGAGATGGCTGAGATTGAAGGGCACTTCGATTGCAAAGTCTGCTGCTAATTTCCTCATCTCGAAGCGATGACATTTGGTGGGCCACGTGTGGTCTCGAACCAGCTCCGTGCTCGTAATAATCAACATCATCACCACTGCGCTACCTACCGGTGATATTTTCTAACGTAAAGAAATGCTATCACTTCTATTTGTTTGAAAACTGCGCAAAATATAAAAAGTATGACCACTTTTATTGAAGACTGTCAGCATAAACAATAGTATTCCGCGGTGCTATGTGAATAGAGGCATCTAAACGTTGTGTGGAACGACTATTTAATAACAAAAAAAATCGGAATAAAAAATGGAAGCTGAAATAATTGAAGCTTTAGGGGTTTTACCTGGAGTACACACGTTATTCAGATGTGGCGTGGCACTCATGTGTGGCATTACTTGCGGTGGACCACTTCCTGCTGGCACCTGCATGAGCGATGGAGGCAATGTCGATGGTAACGGAAAGCCAGACAAACAGTTTCGTGTCAATCGCATCGCAATGGAAAACTCCCTAACGTCAAGCATACCATCTCGATTTGTGTCAGCCAAGGCCCAGATCTTTAAAAAGCACCTTTTCAAATGCGAAATACATACATATTTTATTTCCGAATTTCAGCACTCATCCTAGAATGCCGATGGACCACACTCGTGAACAACACACAGGTGGTCCAATGGCAAGGCTCTGAGGAAGGCGAAGTCGCCGAAACGTCAGCCATTGTTACAACAACAAAAACAATAAGAACATCTACACCAACCACGCGTCGGCTAAAAAGGGCACTTTGTGAGAACATAATTACAGATATATCGTTCTAGAATTGTCAGCGACAAAGAAATTTTGCAAATTTTGATCCAGAAGTGATATTTCCACCGAATGAAAACACGGATCATTAACATAGCAGAATAATCTTGGTCGCGGTGCAAAAAACCTTTCCCGATCCACAAAAGTCGGTAATATCCTTTAGTGGATCTGGAAACACTCTAGCATGTCTAATTTAAAACTTCAGAGAGAATCACGCACAATACGTCACAACACTATTCAACACGTCAATGAGGACAGAGAATGACAGATCCTCAAGCCGTGGCCGAATCTGCATACGAACTCAATCACCCACATAAATCAGCGTAGTAATAGAAGACATATGACACACAAAAGGTGAGAACTTTGATAAAAATTGTCTTCGTGAAAGACAACTACTACAAATTATTACGGTTCTCTGCGCACACCAACAGTTTAAAGGTTTAGGCAGACTCACCTGTGCTAATACTTGTGGAGGTAGGTTACTTTTCATTAGCACATTTCGTGCTGTATTTCCATCAATTCGGCCATTCTGAGGATTGAGCAAAGCGAACTGGGCACTATTTGATTGATGTTCGGCTACCGATACTTCCCATGGATTGGCGACACTCATCTTAAAAAAAAACTTCGTCATATTTCGCCTGTTTCAGTAGTTCACGTCGGCTCTAAACATTAACTGTTCCACTCGACAAAGAAACAATAGCAATCATTATGCCGAATATTCTCGAACAACTGCAAGAAAACGAACGCCAAACGGGAAAGTGTTAGCTGGACCAAAAATTTAACCGGACTGAAGAAAATACAGTGAAAGTTTACTGAATCTTGAATTTAAATCCCTTTCAAAAGCGAGAAACTTAAATCACAACTGATCATATGATTTTATATCAATGCATGCTCGGCTTCTCTGTTTATTTCCCTCTGAGTTCATTTGTTGTAGTTTTCGCATTCATTCGAAAGTTTATCCAATAAAACTACTGTATAAAGTGTCGAAAGGAAAAGCTATCCTCTACACTTGGTCCTTTACAAAGAAAAAACCTTCATGGATCAAATTTTAATGCACACTGCATACAGCGGAAAGTAGGTGTAGCCCCAAGCGAGTGCCTAGCAAAATTAGACGTAGTCGTGTATGTGTTAACTAATCACCAATAAGAGTCATAAGGAGCCGAAAACTGGGTTCACAACTAGCTCTTACAACACTGAAGAAATAGATCTCAGCTCCCTGAGAACTCTATTAAATGAAACAAAAGTGGAATAAAACCACTATAATCTACAGGCTTTTGCCAACAAGGACAAATCGAGGTTTCTTCGAGACCAAAAAACTTCTTGTCAAGGTTTACACACGGAAAGCGACGGTGAAACAAATGGAATTTAGTCCACCAGAGTACGATAGTGTCCCAGAATGTTTCACTGACGACTGCAGCTCCTGAAATTGTGCTAGAAGTCACAAAAAAACGAAGTTAGAAGAACCTAGAGAAAGGTCGTCTCTGCGAAAATGTCATGCTCCCTGTTCCCTAAGAATTATAGGCATTCAAAATTATCGCCTGTTATACAAAACCAGCATCGGTCATCACTTGTTAGGAACAAGACTTCAAAACTCTACAGAGGACTTTGAGAAATTTTTACAAAACACTGGCAAGGTTTACGTGGGAAAATCGGAAAAGAAGACGTATGAAAGACAAACGGAGCATTAAGAAGACATTTGCGGAATTTTAACTTTGTACTCCGCCACGACTCAAGTAGTAATGTATCCTCAAAACTACATTACAAAACCAAATAATATAACCCTACCATAAATGCAATGTTGATGTTCATTCCGCACTAGAGAAACAATGGATAAAAATCCGCAACCGAAATGAACCAAAGATAGAGAGGACAGTTGAAGTGCCTAAGAATCAGTGGCAATTCTCCTCTCAGGCGATTCTGTGGAATAAAGGAAAAGCTGCACCCCAAAAGGACTACATCAGCTCTAGTGCTATCTCGTTTAATTTACGCTTCATTTCCAGTCAAGCTAAGCACTACTAGCCAGTAGTGTCTGAACAGTGTAAATTATAGGGAGTCGACGGGCTATCTACCATCAGCACGCAAGCAAGCACTTTGTACGCGAAGTGCTTCGAAAAGACGTCTTTAGCACTCTCGCCACGACGCCTAGTCTGGGATTTGTTACGGACTAGACGATGCCCAGTTTTTATCCCTTACGGATTTGCAGGTTTTTGATATCGAACAATAATTTTTCAATAACTAGAGTACTTCGTGGGTTGTGAACATAAATGGATTGTGGAAAAGGTTCTACTCTAACGTTCCATATCTCTCTATTTCAGTATTTTTTATGCTGGCACACTCTACGCGATAACTAGCATTCACTATAGCAATTAGAACTGAAGTAGTAATCGATTAGCGACCTAATTTCTGCTTAGTGAGCTCGTTTATTGTACATTTCTAAGCGCATCACGCGTTGAGATATTTGCAAAACTTGGATCCCAGGCCATATCGAATCGCGATCACCCTTTCAGAGGGCTCGCGTGTTAAGCACTGTACCATAGAGGCCCTCGTTCTATTTCGTTCTGTTGGTGGTTGTATTTCATACAACACCCTGCCGTGAAGAAAAAATAGTGTCCAATCGATAAAAAGTATACATTGTGATAGGAGAAAAAACTTCTGTGCACTAAAATAAACCATCTGAAAAAACGGAAAAAAAAATTAGACCTATACGTATCTTACCGGCCACTCTCGCAAAACGATTACGACACATATGGGTATCACATGCCGCGAGAGCTTCAACCATCACTGCGCAGCAGAGAATCAAATAATTTGCCTAAACAATAAAGACTGCACGAGTTCAGATAGGACCCGCTAGATCTTTCCGCATGATATGTTGCTATGAATGTTTGCAAAAAATCATCACCGCTTTACCTGCGCATATTGTTAAAGTTTACCAGTAGTCCTTAATTGAATACGAAAGCATGGACCTCGATAATCTGAAGAACGCGCCGCCAATCCTCAGAAACACATTCCCTTTTCCTATATTTCACTTCATAAATTTAAGATAAATAAAAAAACAGATTAGGAGATTGAGAGGGGAGAATCGCTTCCAGAGACCTAAAGACCACCGATATCCACAACAAATAGAACTGTATCAGTTGAAATCACAATCTCAACCGTTTTATTTACTGCCCACTCTTTTTTTTTGGCAGGGTGTAATGCGAAATATAACTTCAATGATGCTGAGATATTTGCAAAACTCCGGACCGCTGGTGTCTGCGGTGGGAAACGAACGCGCTATTTTCCTTTCCGAGGAGTAACGCGTTCACCACCACACCATGCGGGTTCTTCATTTCGCCTGTCTCTCAGCTAGTTCCCGCTGACGGATGATTGCTGATGGCAAAAGATCAATAGAACTAGCTGAGAGACAGGCAAAACGAAGGTCCGGACGGTGTGGTGGTGAACGCGTTATTCCCCGGAAAGGACAATAGCGCGTTCGTTCCCCACCACAGACACCTGCGGTCTGGAGTTTTGCAAATATCTCAGTATCATTGTGTCAGTTGTCCTCGATCTTCTTCCAAGAGTCTCAACGGTATTGAAAGAATCCTGGAAAAAAGAGAGACAAACACGGAAAAAAGCTTGAGAAATGGTTCATTACGATGGATCATATCCATTCGATAACGAAACTCAGTCAAGTGTTGCGACAGAACGACTTTTCCTCACTTTTACCAACTTTAAAACGATTGTAAACCTTAAAGAAGCACACTATCCTTGTTCAGCCCGTATATTTCTTCCATGAGTCATATCACAACTGCGCAAACGAAATTTCGTCAGATACCGTCACGTCAAAACTATTATCGGCCAGTTTCGGAAAAGTCAAGAGAAAAATGAAAGGAAAAACATGGGAACGAAAGCAGACGGATAGCAGCTAACCAATGTTCGCTATTCTGATGGTTCTGCCGTCATAACATTAAGCACTTACGAAGCGTAACGAATGCGAATCCATTTTGATGGCGCTTGTGAAAAAAACGGTCAATTGAACTTCAACAAAATTATTGTCTCCAGAAACTGATTGCTTTACGATGTCATGCTCATGTCAACGTAAAGAAACCGCCCGAATGCTCCAGCTATTTGTCCCTTGGTCGGGAACTAAGCGTGTAATTCAAGACGTTGAAAATCGTGTGGGCCGGAAACAGGATGACACTCTTAACGAACACTCCACGGTTTTGGTACGCCGTCGTCGTTTCCCACCTTCACACCCAGTAAGATATAAGCATCGAAAGAAATAGTACGGTACTACACAGAAGTTCACCATCAAGATCTCAGGATAAATGAGTTGGGTTTAAACTGGTAAACCTGCACCCATATCTCCACCTCCAAATCACTACGTCACTGGGAATACCAGCAACCAAGTGGCAAAGCAAAGAAGACATCATATTTACTGTGTTGATTCTTCCATTCATTCATTTTAATCTATTTATTGCCTACTTTAGGCAAAAAGTAAAAAGTGACGTTGTGATTTCAACTGCAGTATTAGCTTTATTAGCTTAACTGGGTACAGGGCCGATTTGCGCTTCGCAGGTTATTCCCGTTGATGGGTAATTGTTGATGACAACGGCAGAATAAAAACATGACTGAGAAAAAAGCAAAGCAAGAGCCACGGTTGGTGTGGTGGATAGCATCTGATACCCAGTTAGGGTAATCACGGGTTTGAAGCCTAACTCAGGTTGTGGGTTTCGTTCATATTTCAGCACTACTGTGGTGGCCTTGACCGTTGATGTAAAAAATAGTTAAATATCACTACTGCAATACTGCGAAATATACCGAACAGATCAATTACCACAGGTGGTCAATGCATGAAACTTTTTAGGTAAGATTTCTTCAGCAATAACTGTGGAAGATGTAAACAGTAAAGTGTAAAATAGATTATTTCGAGCATGACGCTTAATTACGACGTAAGTGAAGACTTTCAAGAGCAAGAAGTGTTAAAATATAATATTTTCGAGGCTATCGGTGTATGGAAACTCCCCGACGAAAGCGCGCGCTCTGAACGCCTAACCCTTCGACAATCAATAATTTTAATGACGGTCTGTACTGATGACTGTCTACAACGCACTTACTGTGACGCAGTTCTGCTGAGTTACTTACTATCCAACCAACATGACGGGTGCTCTGTTCCATCCAAACTAAGCATAAAAACAGTAGAAATATGGTAGTTTTCTTCTCATCAGCAGCAGTACCTGTCCTAGTCTATCGGGACATTGCATGCGGAACCGTCACGGGATTCATTGAAGGAACCGAACCCGCATTCATCCTCAAAAGTTGTAAGATGTGTACAAGAATGTTTCTCTTAGATTACGTACGGTAAAACTTCAATGGAAACGAAACCATCAATTCAGTGCAAAAAACATCACGAAAAAAAATCTCGGAGAAAGTCAATGGGACAATTTTGTCGTATATGCATCGTATGTAACTCACATGGTTCCGAAAGGTGCATATGACCAAAGCGAAAACCTGCAACAGATTATTTTCTCATGAAAATCCCCTTAACACAGTAATTTGAATCAGGTAGCAGCTAGCCGAATGCCACAATGGTCTACGGTTTCCGATAAGCGTGCTAAAGTTCTCTGTAATTGTTACTACCTATCAGTCAGTGTTTAACGAAACTAAAGGCATTAAAAGACGACCTTGTAACGCGAATTTTAACGGCCAAAGTATTAGTATCTATTAGAAAAACAGTATTACTGCCAAGATTGCAACGATTCCCCGTACCCACTGATTTCTAACTGGGTTTCGAAAAAATTCGAACTTTTTGTTAGTTTCAGAAATCCTGTAAGGAATGAACGCCAATGCCCACTTCAGTTCGGCACCCAGGAGTAACTCTCAGCAACGATGAGGGGGTAAAACTGTGGGGAATGACGAACTGCGAAAATAAAAGGATAGGGGATAAAGCTCTCGGCGTTGATCAATCCCCGAGGGATACACCATGCACTCAACTTCATTAAGCATCGTTTGGAGGTGATCGAACGCATACCTGGCCTTTACAATGACTCGCGTTGGCCTACGGATATATCGAACTAGCGCTGTTATCATCGCAAAGTCCAGTGTCAACTTGCCGACCCCGAAGAGACGGAAGGCTTGATGGGCTATGGGTGCGGAATCGATTCCACGTGTGTCTTGCAGTGCGCCTCCGACCACTGCGCCACACGCGTCCTTACTGCGGAAAACTATGCTATGCTTCCGGAAAAAGTAGATCTATTCCAAGCAATGAAAAGGCCATGTTTTAAAGGCCAAAAGTGCTATTATACCAAAAAAAAAGAAGTTTGAAAAGAATGACCAAAGCGAATTTGTCATTAACCCACATGTCTAGTAACGCTTACCTTAGACCAACATTCCAATCCTGGCTACACAATGAAGCAGAAAGACCTGAAGTGGGATGACAAGAAACATTCCCAGAACAGTACAGTACCTTAACACCTTCCCGACCAACAGCAGTTCTCTTCATTACTCCAGACTTAAAACTGGCAAGCAAATCGTTGTGGGACTCATCGAGGCGAATACGTACACCTCAATACCTACCCTTTGTAAATATTGATATATTAAAAAAAAGCTTTTCAATGGCTATGCAGTGTGTGGAACCTGTGAGAAATCCAGAAGGTTAGCTATAATCTGTAAGAGATGTTTCCAAAATGGGAAGGAACTGCAGAGAAAACCCACTGAAAACAATGCGAATTGTTGGAATTGTCTGAAATAACTCTTCAGACAATTTTCGAAACCCGATCGTCATGTGCTGTTTTTTTGCGAGGGGCTTCACAAAATAACCAAACGGATAAGCAAAATCCCTCAACTAACTCCGGAGTCAAGTATAACTGAATCGAAACAATAACCATAACAGTATGGAAATCAAACATTCAAAAAAAATGGTTTGAATCCGAGATTACACACGACCATCAACCGATTTGGGCCCACACGGCGATCCGCTTCACCACTGAAAGATTACACAGAATGATGCGAAAAGAAGCATGATAAAAGAGAAAGAAAACAAAGGAAAAAGTTTCGACCGATGAATGATATAGCGAAAGCGAGTGCCCGAAGCACCGACCCGCGAATCCGTCTGCGCGGGCGCGGCAGGGAATCGAACGTGCACATCGATCGTCGCCTTTGCCGTGGAGCGCAGTGACGGGACAGCAAGCCGGCCGGCCGGCCGGCTGGCGAACGACTGTTTCGGAAGGACCTCCAGGGGTCGGTGTTTGCTACGTTGGTGATTCGCGAATCTTCACTGGGCGTAGGATATTCACAACCAACATCTGGGAGAGATACCAGCAATCTGTTTATGCAGGCTTAGTGTGACAGCTCTGCTAACCCTAGAACTACTCACATCCGATAGGTAACCCATGACCAAAATCTCGATTTTTAAAAAACATTTGGTTCAACATAACTAAAGTTATCTTACTTGACATCCAAGCGTTACCACATCTGTGACACTTATGAAGGCACTTACGGATTCAGCCTGTTATGTAGTCGTCGAAGTGTCGGTAACTTGATCACAGGGATAATGCCAAAATAACAATCGTTATTCTTCTGCAAGGATGGTATTCGCAAGCCAGTGAACCTGTCTCTGATCCACAATAGTCGGCCATTGCATGAATAGGGTGGACCTCAGGATATTTTGGGATAGCTAGCCTGAGATTTCGCGTGAAGCCACCATATTCAGCCAGCCACTCACTGAATGCGGCAATGAAGGACGAGCAATCCTTAAGGTGCAGATGAATTCACACACGGACTCCAACACATCCATGGATGGCGATTACAGCACGACGAAATAAATGGCAATGAGCTGCGAACCGTACAAAATCAAAGGACAGCTATTGGCTGCACCGGAATACGTAGCGCTGAAGATGATCTCTCCGCAATCTATATGGGTTTGGGATAAACACGACTTACCAGTGACTCCTCACCTATATCGTTTCTACGTTTCAATTCAGGTTAACTATGTTTTTAATATTGAAATAGTAGCTGGCCTCCAGTATCGCTTAGGCAAAGCATTATCACACAAGTCACAAATCAGCCCCGAAAATAGGCTTGTGATGACCACGAACGTGCACTATGCCTCTGATAGCGAAGACGAGATTTATCGCGACAATTTCAAGGTGCCCCTTCCACAAATAGTCTTTCATCTAATGGTTCAGAATGTCTGTTGCTACCTAGTAAACAAGTCTTGTCATGCAAACTTAGAACCAACAGTCGTTCTATCAAATATACTTCCATTACTCTAGTGATTCAAAGGAGCACCTGCCAAACTGAGCTTCGCTCACCCTAGAGACCGAAAAAGAAGCGGCGCACTTCCCTGTTGGATCCATTATTTTCCACTGTTTCTATCCACAGCACTTAATGTTAACATATCCGATTCAGACACAATAAAAATGGGATTTCGTAAGAAGCGACTCGAAGCATTCTACCATCCTATGAACCTGTCCACCTCTTAAAGTAACTACAACGTTGCTTCCAGACTGTGCTTAAAATTGTACTCACCCCCACGGCACGTGCCACTAAGTTTTGCAGCTACCTCGATCGAAATCTTCTACAACATCCGGGAAACTTGTTACTCTCGGTAGATAGATGGAACAAAGAAATCTGGAAAGACTTCCTTAACTCATAATTCTCATTGGAAAGCGACTGCGGCTGATAGCCATCTTAATGATAACAAGGACGGTTTTCGTACTGACGCCAACAATTCACCACTTCATGGTGTCTGGGGTGTTCTTGGCTACCGGACTTGGAAAATGCGACTTACAGCCGAGATTCAACCACTTCCTGTTACCCCCAACCAGCAATGTTGATTTTGATGCTTCTATTAAGATACTCAGCTGTGAACACTTACACTACAACAGTGCCCTGCGAGCTACCATTACTTACCTTATTGCCAACAAATGAGAAAGCCTAGTACCAAAAAGTACGGTACTTTTCGCGCCTATTGAGCAAGTAGAGCTCTCGAAGCACCTCTGCAGCGCGACGGTACGAATGGAAATTACCGTCGTTTGCTCGCATTAGTCAGTAATTATCGGGACTGAACACGTGATTCTCTGCATCATATGCTTCACAGCAATGTCTTCATTGTCTAAAAATAGATGGTAATTTAACTAAATATAGATGCAACATAGTCCCATACTATGCAATTACGGACCAGAGTAGTACTGGCCACCTTTCAGGTCTTGGTCAAATCGACAACGCTCACGCATGCACGAACACGTTCATAGAATGCCTATCCGCCACTAGTGAGATAAGCAGCACATCATGCAGGACTCGACTGGGAACCAAATACGGTTTCTATTCGAACTCCAATGTGTCCTGAGCCACTTGACGATTAGGTGGCATAGAAACGCTTCGGTTATCGGATTACAGGCAACGGGAAGTGCAATCGTATTGCGATGACAATAAATCACTGCGTTTGTGAATAACCGAAAACGATGATAAACAAAATTATGTAACACAATACACCACATGTTGTGAAATATCTCTTTCTGTATAGTAATGAAACACCGAACAAACGTAAGACCAGGAATAAGGGGAACAAGTGTAAGACTGGGAACAATAGTAGAAATGTCTTAAGTTTTGAATTTCGACACGACAGTATTCCGTCCGTTCAGATTACTAGCCATACTTGGTATACTTTGACATTGGATAGTAATGCTGAAAGCTCACAGTGAAAACTCGAAATGGAAAAATACATTTATCCTAGGTCCTCACAAAAACACTGGGAAATAGCTACTTGATCTCAAGAACAATTTGAAAGAAATGAGAGCTGTAAGTCCAAGCAGATACTTGTAGGTACATCGAAATTTCGAAGTGGCCCAAAAACGAGACCCGTGTGTACTGAAAATCATTTCAAATACGGAGAAGAATGACTATCATCACGCAGCAAAACCAAAGAGTGCTTGTCCAACGCTGCTAGAAGATGTGTTTAATGCAACAGTAGAAAATCCATAAGTTAACTGGGATTTACGACTTCTCATGTGATCTATAGGTACAAAACAACATTCACATATTTGCAAAGACATACACGTTGATGGAAAGATAGAGTGAAAATATGCAGAACCCTGAAAACGCCTTTCAGAACTGCTTGAACTGTGTGTAGTAGACGAAACAATGGACTATGTACATGAAATCTTACACGGAAAACGTTGAAATAAAGCAGCACATAAATGTTACACCCTTCCCCTAAAGTGTACTGGACCACCTTGGTCTTGCCGTTTAGGTGGCGGTGCTCCTGGTGGTACCGACTGATGAGCAGGTGGTGGTGGCCTTTTATGCATTGATATCCCAGGACGAACTCCTTGCGCACGACGTAAATCATTTGACTGACTCTGAAACTGAAAGCATTGCTTCTCTTATGATGATGAACGTACATTTCTATCCTTCAGGCTTCTTTAAATCAGTTATGCCTAATATAACAGTAGGGAAGTGCAAAGAAAGTGGAGAAGGGACTGCTTGTTGCTTACGTTCTTTCAGTATTTTATGGAGAAAAAAAGGACGTTCCAACCTTATAAGTACTGCAGTTATACTATGTGACCAAGAAAATCGTTAAAACAAAAATGTAACATAGGTTCGTTACACTAAAATGGAGGTTCGGTCCAACTTTAGTAAGTGCGTAAATAAGTACCAGCGCAGACCAAGTTGTTTTGTGAACTTTTTTAACAACAATATTGACACTTGGTGAAACGGCTCATCATGTCTTGGATACTTGGATGGCCGCCCTCACGCCTTCACCAATTATGCGGACCCCAGCATAATTTCCGTTTTTCCGAACTTTTGCTGAACTAGACAATGGGGTTCTCTGGAGTCCCGAGGTCAGCGTAGCTAAAGTCCACCCTAGGTCGTCGGCACCACAGGCAGTCACCGTCCTTGTGGATCAGAGGGAGATTTGCCACCATGCGTCTAGTTTAATACCAGGACGGTGGTAGACGCTGGTATTGGTTTATTCTTAGCTGGGCTTTCTGATGGAAACGACGGATTCCTTCTCAGCTTGGGAGACCCTGATGTGGAGGGAGGGGCCCTGTACATCACAGCCCGACGAACACTTCCTAGCCACGATGAGGCGGTGAACTGTTGGGAGGCTTCACGTCAAGACTGGCTAATTTCATACTGAAAAAATTATGAGCCTGTATCATCATGAAACTAACAAGTGTATAAAAACCTGAAAAGCGGAACCGAAGAACCATGTAGGAACCCACTTCGCCATCCGGCGGCGGTGACGGCTTGCGAGCTCGCTCCATAGCTGCGTATTCACTGTTGAACTCACTCATATTCGGAGTTTCAGAATACACTAGCATGAAATCACCTGATTTCATAAACTCACCTTGACGACCACATGACAGATTGAGCATTCCCTAAAGACTCACTGATTGATTCGAAAAAGAAAAGAAGAACCGGAACAATCATTAGCTTTGTGTTCAAAGGCTCGAATACGAGAATTTCATACAGCACCCACTCGATGGACATTAGTGAATCCGTTTTTAATCTTAATAATATCCCCAGGCTCGAACAGGTCCTGAACTTCTGCATTCATTATTGTGAAAATGATGGAACCGGATGGATCGGCAATGCGCATACTCACTACCAAACTTCCATTTGCTAGGCGACGAGGAGGATCTATAATAAAACGATGACGGATAAAACATGAAGAGTAAGAACAGCATGAAAGAGTACGAGCATGTATATGGGAGAAATGTCCATAAGCAATGCCACTGATACATAGCCGACCCAACCCACTTACAGCATTGAAATTTCATGCCCAATAAATTGTTGTACAGAATACTCCGAAATAACCGGAAGAAGAGCTCGACTAGTGAAAACGACTGTTCGGGAAACCTGGCATGGCCGCAGGCAATCCATGAATACACTCTAGTGACGTGATAAAAATAATAAAGGATTCAAGGATAAGGCTCTCAGCGTTGATCAATCCCTGGGGGATGCGCCATTCATTCGTCTTCTTTAAGCATCGTTAGAGGTGGCTGAATGCATATCTAGCCTTTACAATGACTCGCGACCGCCTATCGACTTATCAAGCCAGCGCTCCTATCATCCCAGACAAGTTGGTACTAATTTGCCAACTTCAGAGGGATGGAAGGCATGGTGAGCCTTGGGCGTAGGAATCGATCCCATGTGTACTGCAGAGCGCCTCCGACCACTGCACTATATGCACCCACCGACGTGATATCTAACAGGGTTTAAGGTTGTTCTGCATTGATTCACAATTTCTTAGTAACTGAAGATCCAATCGTGACCGCGTCAAAATCTTCTCTCATCCAAAGGGAACATTCTTCAGCACTTTTCAGTGTACTGCTTACAACGGAACAAAGACTCACGATTTTCTAACACGATCCCATAAGTGTTAATACAATTCATTTGTGGCAATAAGGAAGCAATCTTGACGTAACCCTCGTTCTGTTGTTGAGGTAGGTGTGAGTGGGCATGATTTGCAGCCATCCGCACTAAATGTGGATAGGTTTACAGCTGAATAAAATACGTAGAACGAAAGCTTCCCTACTCACCAAATAACAAGAAGGATACGGAATATGATAGACCACAGAAGATGGTGCACAGGGACAACCGCTTTGCGACAACGCCTAGTTCGTGTGGCGACCGCGATCGACGCCCAATTTTTCGCCGGACGCCTACTCGCTCCACCACATCGGCCGTCCATCCATATTGCCCGCTAACATTTAGCCGACCACGTGACCTCCATAGAAGCTATTTCTTAGGAGGACATAGTGGCCGCTGTGAGCTCCATAGACTTCAAAGTGCTGCACAAAATTATGCGTTTCGTTGCGACAGAAAAGCGAAATTAGGCGTCGCCATGTAAGTGTGAACATCTGAAAATTCTCTTGGCAAATCTCGTTAATTCTGTTTGGGTATTTTTTAATATCCATCCTCTTCGTACGATAAGCATGACTCATCCTAATAAGAGATAAGGTCTTTATCATTGAACATCTCTGAGGGATGAGCCATGCATTCGGCTTCGTCGATTATCGTTGGAGATTACCGATTGTACATCTGGTCTATGCGGTCACTTTGGGTTTCATACTGATATATCAGGTCTGTGTTTTAGCCTCCCAGATAAGTTTGATTTGCCAACCCCGGAGAGGTGAAGGTCTTCGTGAGCCCGAGAAAGGGCATCAAACCAACTACCGACCCGCCGTGTATTGCACAACAGCTTTAACAACTGCGCTACCCGCGCTCCTGTGATTCATCACAGCAATTGAAAATGAAGAAACAGTCGGCTGATGATCGGAAATTGGGCTTTATATGTCTAACATATAACGAGCGATGCTGACTGTCCGGTAACCTCCGGATAACTAGGGGCCTTGAGATGTGAACTGAGATCTTGTGGACTTGGCAGGCTTAAAAAATGCACTAAAAGAGGCTAAAATATTAAAATATAAGAGAATAAAAGGCTGCATTTAAGTCTTTATGAGAAGTTACTGCTCATCTAACAGTTTTATAACTCCGTCCTCATTTTTTTGACGCAACAGTCCATCTAACTCTCTAGTCTGCACCTGAGGGGTGGCTTGACGTTCCAACCATTCAGGTGATTATACGGATCACTCTGAGAGTTATCCTGAACAGTGTCTTCGGACAGGCACACAAAAGGTCAAGTTGAGCTGTGTGTACCCGGTCTTTGACATTTCTAAGGATCTAGGAGAATACGCATTGAGCGTGAAACACTGATAGACCAATCATTTAATAGGATTCGATGACGAATGGACGAAAAGTGGAATGGCCTACAAGGGAATTCAAGCGTCCTCTGGGAAGTCAAGGAATAAGATGGACGGAAGTGTTTTTAACCTAAAAAAATTAGCTATCTCAGCTTCAGAGATCATGGAGTGATACTAGCATATGCCATCAAACGTAAAACTAGTTTTCCATATATCTAACTATGTGGGTGTAATTTGTTCTTTACAGTTTTGGGAAATATCCTTTCAATTTTTCATATGTTTCTTGCGTTTAAATTTCCATAAAATAAAGACCGTTCCTCTCAACAGTTTACCGCCTCATCGTGGCTGGGAGGTGTTCCTGGGTGTCGGACTGCGATGTACAGCGTGGGCATTTTTTCATCTCCTGGCAGGGTCTCCCAAGCTGAGAAAGAGTCCGGCGTTTCCATTAGCAAGCCTAGCCAAGAGTAAACCATTATCAGGATCTAACACCGCCCTGGTACCAAAATATTCGCATGGTGGCAAGTCTTCCTCTGATCAACAAGGGCTGCGACTGCCCGTAGTGGTTAAGACTTGGGGCAGACTGTGACCTTGCTGGCCCCGGGACTCCACGGAACCATAATGGCTAAACCATTAAAACTCCGACAAAATGAAGATTATGCTGAGGCCCGTACAACCAGTGAGGACGGGGCATTCAAGTTTCAAGTAAGTAATTACCAATAAAAGTAGACTCTTCTTCTGTACGGCTTATTTTTTTTCTGTATAATAAAGGGATTTCTCCCAAGTCCGACTTTCTATTAACCTCGGCATTGAATGAATAATTCTTCCTACATCTAGCAGCAGAAAGTAGCAGAAAAATGTTCTCCGATTATGTATTCTTATTCTTATACCGTTCCCATCGTTGTAAAAGCGTTGTCCACGGCAAATTTGTCGTAATTTTTGCTATGGGTCACTGGACAATAATTACTTGCATACTTGGACGATTCGTCTTCACGAGTTGTGCGGACCCCAGCACGTTTGCCGTCCGTTTCTATTGAATATACTATATTGAATATAATATATTATTTCTATTGAATATTGAACAATACATCTTAATAAAACATCTCAAGTTCAATACCATCATCTGCCAACGTTAGTGAAAAGAAGTTAGTGGTACTAATTTTCTTCGGCTTACAAAGAATGGAATGTCAAAGCTAAAAGAGAATTTCAAAGGGCTACAGAGCAATGGACAAAAAAGCCCAACGCTATGAAAATAACGATATTCTTCCCAGCTATCATGGCAAGGTTTTCATTGTCAAGAAGACTTTCGGATAACAGGCCTCTTTCTTTTCGTTGCTTGAAGGGCAATCAAATTATGTCATTTGCGGCATTCGCGAGGTTGTTAAACAGCATTCGTTTACTCCCATACAATTACACACATACAACACAATCGTGGTTGACGTTTGGGCAGAATCGCCTTCTTCAGAGTCGTTTCTACGTGCCTTCCACTGAGGAATAGCCTCTAATCAGCGTCGCATATGGTTAATGATAGAAATAAACGTACGCTGTTTAACAACCTCACGATTGCTGAGAGAGAAAGCGACGAATTTATAATCCAATGCCGAGGTTAATGGAAAGTCGATCCTATATGATTTGCATTATCGAGAACGTAAATGTCGCAGTCTTCGGAGGCTACTCTGGCGTTGCTTGTGCACAGTGTCGAAAGCGGTTTCCGTGGCGGGTCTCCGTTATCGCCCAGATTCAGTGATATTTTCTATTTTCACATGTGAATTCAATGGTGTTAAGACACATAGAAAAACACTCATGGATGACTTGGTGAGCGGTTCTGCTCTCCTCCATCCGTCCCCTTGATCGTTCGCTCAACTCGGTAGCTTTTGCAGACCATATCTCTAAAGCAAAATATAGAGTCCGAAAAATGGATAAAAAATGCTTTATCATTTTCTTGCTGCTTGCTAAAAAGCTTGACCTCATGGTTATCAAATGGAAGAAGGTGAGAGATAATCAAAACTCTAACGCAACCTATAATTAGCAGTGAATAGGAAGTTTTGGGTGGAGAAAGTGATGGTGAACGCCTCGGATCCACTTACTGCTGGATTCTTCCTCTCAAATATTGTCCATGAAGAACTGAGGCAAACTGATTTTCAACGAAGTCGTGGTCTTAAAAGACCTTCAAGAAACTTCAAATTTTTGCATTTTCTGCGCAGTCCTTGTGATTTGTAAAGTGACAACATTCGGAGATTCATTAATCTAGTCCAGGTCAGTCACTTGTTCCTTTTCCCTTCTAGGGTATAGCTTTTTCTGGAATGGATGTGACCAGCGTCATTAGCACAATATATCGTTATCAATACTGTCTCATAGTCAATGAAATGGAAATTTTGCCATTCGTCGTAACGTCTTTGACGGTTTCAATATGTTCTAATATTTTTGGCGATTGCAAATACCCTAGCATCTACAAGGTTGGAAACCAGAATGAAGGGGAAAGGTCCAGAGAGACTGATAAGGAGCAGTCAGTTGTGCTGTCAACCTGCAATGGTTTCTGGCAACGACAGCTTATCTCCAATTCCAAGTTAAATTTTTTATCAATGCTCAGTTTTTCTAGCTGGTCTCTTTCTGACTATAAAATGGTCCACTTATCAGAAATACTGCTAGGGTGAGCATTGATCGTGGAGGTTTTCCTGAAAAAATCAATTTCTCTTTTCATCGGAAAACAAGGTCGTCTTTTCAGATTCACAGCGGGTTAGTACTTCTATTTTTTGCTAGTTCCGTAAACACTTTGAAGCTTCCTTGCCCGAATCCAAAGCATTCTGTTTGTCCATATAAAGCACTAAATGCAGTTTCCTCAGTAGGTTCAGCGACTTATTCTAAATGCGTTTTGCAAAGAGGAAGGACGATGTAGGTACGAATGGCACGCGAAGAGAAGAAGTCATGTGAGCTTTTCAACTTTGTTTTTCAAAGCTTTTCTCTAATATTGTCCACAAATTCATGCGACCTACTTAAAGAAGACCAAGAAGATTCCACAACATCTAAAGTGAAAAAAGCAGATGATCACTGA